AGATACTACTAATCAATTTCTCTGCAAACATAGTCTTCCACCATCAGATATTAACAACTTTATTTAAGCATTCACTCGAATCCACATAACAAACCAGACACCTCTCGGTATCATTACAACAGAAACCCTAACACCAACAAGGATTCGTAGCCAGGCTATCCACTCATCCCCAGAACTACACCACACTATCATAACTGAAATACACAAATTGATCTGGACTCCAAGTAGAATAATGACGAATAACAACAACAGTAAACACAATCACTCAAACAGTACTACCTACCTTAGCTCAAATACTATGATACCAGAATCTAACCCCAACCCAATACTACAAAGCAAATTTCTATCATGGCAATATTCATACATTAGTTATAATACCCCTCCTAATGATATTCTCGACACATAGCCTAGAGGTCTTTGACCTATCTAGCTAAGGTTAAGGTCTAGAGTAAAGTAGCTCCATCCCCACTTCCCCCAAAAAATTTATGTAAACTTACCTTGTAAAATCTGCATAATAAATAATAAAGGAACTAAGGAAAAGGCCTTACTTAAAAAAATAAAAAAATAAAAAAATAAAGTATTTGTATTAAATTTAGGTGTATAAACTAAAAAAAAAAAAAAAATTCAAAAAAAAATTTTTGGAGAGCAAAATTGATGATCATTGATCTCAAATTTGATTGGTCGATCATTTAGGGTCGCATGGAGTCGGGTCACTAATGTATTTTTGTCTTATTTAAAAAATTGTAAATACTTTTCAAAATTCCAGGCAAATTTGTCTGAAAAACAGTTTAAGAGATAGATATAAACCCTATAAAATAAAAAAAAATCAAAATTTTATTAAGATTTTTTTTAAACTATTATTTTAAAAAATAAGCATTTTTTGTAAAAAAAAAAAAAATCTAAACAAAATATTAACTTTTTTTTATAAAGGTTTAATTACCAAATATAAGGTTCTTGCATTGCTTGTAGCAAATATAGACCAAATCACAACATGAGGTTTTTGTATTGCTATTGTCTAATCATGAGATTTTGTATTACATAATACAATATTAGATATAGTATATTTGTCTCTAATTTTCTTTAAGAAACTTAAGCATCTAGTTAATATTAATAAATATTAGTAATATATAATAAGATATTAAGAAAATTAATAATAATAATATTTTGACTATTAATAATTAACAAAAGCTTTATGTCTGCTTATTCATGTTGTAGATAGTTCTAGAATTCTGTAGATTTAAAATATTTTTAAGTGGATTTCAAATCAACTTAAAAATCAAAAAATAAGTCATATAGAGTAATAAATTATATAATAAAATATAAATTGCTATAAGCCTTAAGCCCCAGATTATTTTCAACTTATATATTAAGTGTAAGTTGTCACTATTTCCAAATTTATATAGAATAATTGTAGATCAATATCGTATAACTAATATTATATAGTATCATATGATTTATATATAAACAACATGTGATTTGGCCAATTAGAATTAGCAAATCTTTTACTATCTAGAAAAAACATATATAGTAGCAATCTAGAAAAACTTTGACTATATGTAAAGTTAATTTTTTTAAGACAATATACATTGCACAACTTCACTATTATAAACAATCTATTTTAAGCTAGATATTATATAAATTTGATACAAATTAGCCAAAATATTAAAAAGTTTAATTAGAAGTATTTTTTATTACTATGTAAAAATCTAATATACTATGTAGATCATATGAAAAATAATCTGCATATACTCTACCCTACCCTTAATTTAATTTTCGAGTTAAAAAATATATAGAAAATGGTAGATTAAGATTATTTAGTATACTTTTTAAAAAATCCAAATTTTCATAATCAAATTTTATAAAAAAAAAAAAAAATCTAATTTTGAAAATATAATTATATGTAAAATTTTATAGTAAACAAGTTTTTAAAAAACAAAAGTATATTATCTTGGTGAAAAACAAGTCAGCTATATATATATTAATGTAATATGTTAAATTCATGTAACAATGATCAATCAAGATACTATGGTGTTGATGGCAATGATATACAAGTATCAACAATCGATTGTAGCTCAAGGAAATATGGTAGTTAATTATGGGCTAGAGCTTAGAGGGTATAAGTCATAAAGGTAACAAATGATACTTATCATGCTCATATAATACAATCACAATCAATCGATCATGATTGTATGTCAGAAATTTAGTAAAAGCTAATTGTATCCTTATGTGCTCATTATTTATGTGCATAACAAATTTAGTAATAAATAAGTAATTAGAAATAGTTGCTTATATATATAAATAAAAACAATTGTAATAAAATAGAAAAATTATCTTTTTCTTTAGACAAATCTTTTGGTGCCTGTTTAATAAATTATATTAGTAATGATATTATATGATATACAGTGGTTACATTTGGTAGCAGCAGACAATTTATAAAAAAAAAAAAAAGAAAAGAGAGATCTATTAATCACTATAAATAATATATCAACTACTGAGTTGATCTGATCATAATAGATCAAGATCAATTTAACTAGTTCATTGATAGGTTTGTTACAAACCAGAATGTTTTCAATATACAAATTGTGAAATTTCTTGAGAACCAAAATACGCAAGCACAAAAACTGCACCTACTTTAACAGAAGACACTTACCACTGTGAACTAGCACAAATAAAAGGCCTATTAGTACAATTACCAATATTTTATAGAAAGGAAAAAGAAAACATTATAATGTGGTTGCTCCAAGTAGACTTGTTATATAAAGCGTGTAAAATTGAGGACAAAGAGTGTTTACTATATATAATTATGGGGTTAAAGGATATAGCGCTCCAGTTGTATTTAAATAAGATACAAGGCCATGAAAACGGAAAACTATTTGAAACTTGGAAAGAGTTTGAAAAAGAACTTAGGTTGATATTTCAACCTCTACAATACCAACAGTACTTGAAATGACAACTATGAAGTATCAAGCAAACCTCAACTGTGCAAGAATATATCACAAGGTTTAGAAATATACTTGGGCAAGTAGAAAGTATAGATGAAGCAGACAAAATACTTAATTTTGTGGAGGGGTTAAAATTTGCAACCAAAGTTGAAGTTAACTACTGAGCACCTGAAAGTCTTGAGGACGTGATACAGTTAGCAACAACATATGATACTGTAATGTATGGTGTTGGTGAAATAGAATATCAAATTTCTGAGGAAATTAGAAATAACAATTTAAAATTTAGCAGTTTGGGAGATAATCAAGCAATACCAATAAGACTGAAGTGAGAAAATTTTGCGAAAATATGAAAAAGAGTAAACAAATTATAAAAGATATGAAGAAAAAGGAGTTTAAACAGAAGGGGTTATTTCAAATATAGACAAAAGAGCTATATAGCTAAAATATGCCTCAGTAAACAAAACACGAACCCCGGGTCTTCTTCAAGTACGAATACAGACATCGAACAAGCGAATATGATTGAAAAAGAAGTTAGTGTGAATACTGAAAAAAAAAACTCCTACGAGTAAAAAGAAGAATCGACAAAAAGAAAGCTTTGATTTTGATAAATTCTAGTACTTCCAAAGATTTTATCAATGAACAATTTGTAGAAACTTATCAGATTGAGGTTAACGAAACTCAGAAGAGCAATTAGTTGTAGAATTGGCTGATGGAACACCTTGTAAATCACGAGGATATGTGGCAAATATGAAAATTCAAATGTACTCCTAGAAGGAGGGCAGAAATAAAATAGAAGTTCTACCATTGCAGAAGTATGATGCCATTTTAGGAAAGCCATAGCTACATGACCATAATCTCTGAATAAATTGGAGGACAAATAAGATCTCTTATAGAAGGACCAAAAAGTCTTTAACATTAACACTAATGCTAATGGAAGGCCTATTGGCTCTGCCACAACAATGATTTCAAAAAATCAACTTGTTAAGGAAGCTAAATAAAATGCGAAATTGTTTGCAGTATTAGCTGTGAATATACAAGGTATAGAAGATAATACAAAAGTAGATATTCCAGAATTTCTGAAAGCCACAGTGAATGAATATCAGGATGTTTTCTCTAAAGAATTACTAAATAAATTACCTAAAAATGGAATGTAGATTATAAAATTCTACAAAATCACTGAAAAACAAGCCACCTACATCATCAATGCCGTTCTACTAGCCAGGCTCTGATACCAACTTTCTAATACCTATCTCACCAACCCCAACTGTCAATATTTAACATGCTGATATTCCTCAATAGTGAAACAAAAAGCCTCACTGGCCCGAAGCATCCCCAATTCACTTTTATTCCACCAGCACACCTATGCGCTAACAAATACCTTTCAGCTCCAACAGAAACACCACGCAACTATACTCGAAAACCTGCTCAACTCACATCTAACCCCTCCAACATTTACTATACGCCTCCAACAACTCCAAAATGATGCCTTCACTAACTCTTCTATACTTACAACTCACCCAACATTCACTTACAAAGAACACAAAACATTTACTGCCCGTCTCATCAGAAATATCCATCAACTCAATATCCAGTATACTAGAACCGCTAACTCCAGGCCAATTCCACTCAATACACCAGGACATTCGATTAACTCTGTCCTTCTTAACTTAAAAAACCGTATTCATATCAAACACTGTCTCAATCAACACAACATCTCAGCAATAGAACATTTCACCAATTATGATAATATTGAAATGCTAAGCTGGAAAAACTTTCATCACAATATACTCAAAATACCTCGAGGCCGCCATCCCAAATGGTTCACACTAATTCATGAAGCCTTAAGCGAACTTACCTCACCCTCACTTGAACTTACCCTCCCTAACCCTTTTACTTGGACACAAGCCTCAAACCAGTCAAAATGGATAATCACACCAGACCACACCTTCGGCAAAATAACCTCTTCACGAGACAATCTCTTCAAAATCCAACATTGGAATCTTGATTCTAATACTAACACACTAAAACACTGCAACCGATGCTCACTTCACAACTACACGACCCACAACACATGTTGCTCATTCTGGACACCTAAGTCTTCGGCATTCCAAATACAAGTGTCATCAAAATGTATCTGGCACGGTACTCTCACCAACCTTCAGGCTTCCCCTCCACCTCTTAAACACATAACTGAATCTAACCAATTCATACTACGAAATCACTTATACTCTTTCAACTTGGCACAAACACACAACAAGCATGCTGAAAATATTTGGAGTGTATACTTAACATTTCCAAAGCTCACAACTATTTCAGCCCAACTAACAATCACAACTCAAAAGCAACACTTCCCCATACCAACCTCAATTCTCACCTTCTCCAACCTTACAACGAGAATAGTTACACAAAACAAAAACTGGCCCATCCCAGCAAAAATTGCAATCTCTACACTTTACACACTCCTTACAATCGTTCCATCTCACTCCCAAATTCACCTTACTACCAATTCGACTACTATAATTAAATTACTCCCACTACTTACAAACCTATCCATAACCACAACTAATACTATCCAAAAACAAACAAACTCAAGCCTCTTAATAGCAATCCGTGCTGCTATTTACACCAAATATATTAATATTCAAACTACTTACTCCCACTCCACTAACACAATACTCCCTCATGACAATATCCTTTATGCTGAAATTGATCCATCAACTATGATCAACAATACCCATCTTCTCTGCTTTAATCACCAGCTTGCATCTGATGATCTAAGAACTCTAATCAAAAAACTCCATATGGCATCCAATATTACTTCATAGTACTACCAAAAGAGAATACAATTATGGATACCAAATACTTCCAATGTTCAATGGAATGCAACATTTCTATACTTTCAACACAACAATAAACCCCATCAACGCTCAACAGATCCCAAGACCTCCAAAATAAAAAACTTTAAATTTAAACTCCTAATACAAGAACTACCCAACCAACTTAACTTATTCAAACGGCACTCACTAAAACACATCTCCCTATTTGCAAGCGCTGCAATATGGATACAGAAGATGATGCTCACTGGCTCACATGTGTGACCAACCCCACTACAATTACTAACCTTCTCCAAGATACTACTAATCAATTTCTCCGCAAACATAGTCTTTCACCATCAGATATTAACAACTTCATTCAAGCATTCACTCGAATCCATATAACGAACCGGACACCTCTTGGTATCATTACAACAGAAACCCTAACACCAACAAGGATTTGCAGTTAGGCTACCCACTCGGCCCCGGAACTACACCACACTATTATAACAGAAATACACAAATCGATCTGGACTCCAAGCAGAATAATGACGAATAATAACAACAGTAATCACATTCACTCAAACAGTACTACCTACCTTAGCTCAAATACTACGATACCAGAATCTAACCCCAACCCAACACTACAAAGTAAATTCTCATCGTGGCAATACTCATATATTAGTTATAATACTCCCCCTAATGATATTCTCGACACATAGCCTAGAGGTCTTTGACCTGCCTAGCTAAG